CGCACTGGAGTGACAACCAGAAATGCGTGAGAAAAATAATACTCTATTTTCTTACTTCTCTAAGGGGGGCGAAAAGTCGCAGAAAGGGTCTCCCTTTTATACTCCTTGGGTTGCCTTCCTTTTTCATGCTCTACCTTCTATTTACAGGATTTATTTACAGTGTATTTTTCTCAAACTGAATAAAAAATGAAATTTTCATGCTATAGTTCTACTGCGCTTGTGCTGTGCTGAACTGCGGTCAGACTGCGCCTAGAATTCTTATTGTCCTCCCTCGCCTAAGCTATTTTAATGGTTAATTAGAACTTGGCTGCGCTGCATTTGCCGCAGTTACCTATTTCAAATTCCCTATATATACCATTAAATTTGCTATGACTCGATGATTCTGAATTCAAACTTCGCATTACTATGCGTACGGCTGTGCTGAGACCTTCAGCTGATTTATTCCATTTTTATTTAGTGACATTTAGTTAAAATGAGACTGAAATGGTAAATGAGTGAATTATTCAGGTTTAAAACTGAAAGAAAAAGTTGCTAGTAGTCAAGAATTTACTCAAACGAATGTGTTATAGCTCTCCACCTCATTAGAATATCGTTCCCTAAAATTCCCGCCATGGTCCATCGTAGTTTAGTGGTTTTCGTGAATGTCAAAAACCTGTCGGTTATGGAAGAGTGTTAGAACGTGCGGATTCGGACGACTCCGGAATGGAATCGGAGACTTAGCATGGAAGGACCTTGGCCTCAGCGACTCAGGCGGAGCGCTGTGCCATTGCTGGTTGTCCTAGGGGTCCCTAATTTCGGATCTAGCAGAGGGAAAGTCTCTTGGGGGGAATTCAAGTTGATTTCGGACTGAGGTTACAAGTTACTAGGTACATTGTATATAAGGAGGGGTCCGGAATCAAAAGGAACAAGGGTAGGACGAAAGGAGACAAAGGGAGATGGAAAGAGGAACAACACCGAGGGTCAAGTGTTTGACTCAATGGTGTTTCCCAAAGGAGGAATGAAGGGCCAAGGCCCAAGGAGGAAGGAAGGAGGTTGGGAGTGGGGAATGGCTAGCTGACTGAATAGAAAGGAAGCAGCAGCCCAAATAGGAATGAGGGAGAATAGCGGAATTGAAATGGACAATGCAATAGTTGCAAGGTCCGGAGTAAGTCCGGAAAGTCCGAACTCGGAGGTTAAACTCCGGAATATTGGCAAAGGTAATTAAATGGAATGAGCTAACCAATACAATGGGTATAAGCGGAGGTGGGGTCAAAGTCTGAGGTCGGAGCTAAGACCGGAGGTTCCGGAGACAGAGACGCAAACGGGATTCCGGAGCGGAGGTCCGGAGTCGGGAGCATAGGTGTTGCGTACTCGTCTGGAAGGTGTCGAGGTTGGGGTCGGACCCGGAATGTTCCAGAGTCGGACTGAAGGTGGTGTCCGAGCCGGAGGTGGGATAACCTCTTGGGAGTCGGCAAGGAGAAGGTGACGGAAGGGAAGTAGGGCTCCGGAAGTCGGAGTTCGGAGTTCTGGGAGCCCGGAGCGGAGGTCGGGATTGTATGGATATGACAAAGAGGGGGTAAATGCGTGAGTCCGAATGCAGGCGGGGCTCAACTAGAGGGGGGTCCGAGGGCTCCGGTAGTGAACCGAAGCTTCTCAGGGAGCCCGGTTCTGCTGGATGGTACAAGAGGCTCTAAGAAGGACGCGGCCTCAGCGACTCGGAGGGAGCGCTGTGCCTCCGTTACGTCTCAGTTAGTCCTTGTATTTCTTATGTCTGAGGTGTCTTGTAGAACAGGGACAGGATTCACTCAGAGGGACTTTGGGTGGCATTTTAGTCGAGATTAGAACTAAGGAACTACAGGTTCTAATCAACATGTATTTATAAAGGAGGATGGGGAGGACTTTAGTCAAAACCCGAAATGACAAAACGGGGAAAACACCGAAAGGTACCGAATGATACCGAGAGGTACCGAAAGGTTCCGGACGATATCTAAAGCGGGGAACCGAGGTGTCGGGCCAAGGAGGGCGGAGTTGGAGGCCGGAAAATGAATGGGGAAGACAAATGGGTAAAGGGGGCTAGCCGACTGAATGGTAGTCATGCTAAGAATGGAAGATGACTAATAAGTGATAGCGTGAAGGAGATCACCGAAGGATGCGGTTAGCTCCGAAAGCGGAGTTGCGTATCCGAAGGATGTTGGGTGACTCCAATAAATGAAGTGGGTGAAGGAATGGTTTAAGGGCAAGTCACGGGATGTCGGAGGTCCGTCAGGATATCGGAGCAAATCCGGGGTCTCCAAATGTTCCGACTCGGGACCGAGGTTCCGGGATGGGAGTAGCCAAGGTTCGGTGTGCCGCAACCAGACCGGAACTGAGACAGTCAGGAGGGAAGGTGACTTGGAGAGTGGGGAGGCATGGTGTAGGGGATGGTGAAGTTGTTAGGAAGGTGTGATGTGGTGGGAGTGCGCGGGGTCGGGATTCCGGGATATGACAGTGAATTTCGTTCATATTCCCTGATTCCCCTTTGTATTATCACATCCTAATCCTCCATATGTATTGTTCGTTGTTATAGTAGGTCGTCCTTGAAGATATCATATTTTTATGTATTTTATTTAGGACTCTGGACCTCTTGAAGCTGTTTTCCCGCGCGTTTTCAGGTTTCTAACTTCATGTCCCTATATCTCATTCATTTCTGGATGTTTTCTCACGTTCTTGGTATCATAAATTTTCATTTATTTCCACCTTTCCAATGGTACTAAGATTGTGTCCGATTTCCTGGTATTCATTGAGTTAGCAAAAGTTCGCACGCACATTCGGTAATCACATGCATCATTCCCATAGTCGTTCGTATGCGGGCGCCATTTCCGTTTAATTGTTCGGGATTTATGATATGCACGGGTTTTTATTTCTTTCATATGGGCTTCTGTGATTTATTTCAGATTTTTCCCTCATGATCTAAGGTTGTTTTGCACTTTCCGTGCTTTGTTTTGACCGGGCTCTTCCTTATTTGGTCGGAAATTGGTCTTCGCGATCTGCCGAAGTGCGGATCTCGGTTCTGACGGCCAGTTCCCTGTGCATCGCCACCCTCACGTGTCATTACACATGATGCGGATTTCTATATTCCCGTCATGGGTATAACTTCACAACGGCTGGACCGTTTGGGCTGAAAATTTGCATAACTATAGTTCCCCATTTTTAATAATTTCTGTGTAAATTTCGTTGTATGTTTTAATTATGGATCCTATGCAAACATCGTCTTTTCCCTGAGCTCAGACTTTTGATGTCGCTATTCCTGTTATTGGATATCTCATTAACGCATGATCCTTTTATTATGAAACTTTGGGAGGATTAAGTTTAGATCCCTTCCTTTCTAATGGGCTATCAAGCTTGTCTCGGTCGTTACTAGTTAATCTTTGCGCTTGCCTTTTAGACATTGTCCTCGTTTTGCAGGAGTTTTAGTCATATCTCCGTTGTTTATGAGTAGTTTCCCCTGTAATTACTCTCATTGGTTCCTTTTGGGGGACATCTACATTTCCTATTATAAACACGACTTTGACTTTTGCATTAGTTCCTGAGGAATCTTTGTTCCGTGGTACTTCCATCCTTGGCTACGTGTGCGGACGTGGGTGTAAGGTCGGTTGAGGTTCCGACCTTGGTGTTGACTCCTGCTATCCTCAAGCTGTCAGGAATTAGGCAGTATAGAGCTGTAATTTCGACAGGGGAGGAGAAGAGTGAAAACCTGTTTCACCCTTCCCCGCAATTTATATACATTGTTTACATCGAGAAATAAAGAGTAATAAACAATGAATAAAGAAAGCGTGCACAGCACGCATCACCACACATCCATTCCCTACAGTGGGAAAGTAGTTTCCGTGGAGGTTCTCTGGTTATTTTTATAGTCAAATCTTGGTCGATTGTCCTAATTCTTGGTTTAATATTTGCTATAAATTCCCCCAAGAATTCCGTCTCATTGATGGTGAGCTTGAAGTATTTTTGCTATTTTTCTTTCTTTCAATTTATCATGTATAGTCATAAAAATTCGTAAAAATTCGTAAAATTCGTTAAAATTCAGGTCCTTCTATTTTCTCATATCTACTTGTCGTATGAGGTTTTTGTGATTTATCTGGCATATTTCCATAATGGGTTTCCATAGTGTGGCTGTTATTTCTCCTACACCGCTCGCCGCCCGTCACCGCCTAACCCCTTCCCACCACCTCTCCACAACCCCTCTCCTAATTGTCATTGAACGACCTAGCGGTGCAGAGCGCTGCGACCTGTTGTTCCATGTTTCGCTGCACATTGTTATCTCGCAGCGAAGGTCACACTTGACCTTCGCTGTCTTGAACATGTGCTTCTTGTTTGTTTTCCTCCTTCTTTTCTCTGCCCGCAATCTCCGTGAGATCTGGCAACTTATTCCCTATTCAGTTCCCTAGCGCTTATATACAGCTTGTAACTAATGCCTGTACTGTAGTCCGAAATCAACTAGAATTCACCCCTAAGCTTACCTCTGTCCCCCGTAAGACCTCCGACCTTCTGAAGTATCGGGACCGCGTCGAGAACGAGGCGCAACGCTCCTCCTCGAGTCGTTGAAGCCGAAATCCCGGCTCACTCACCTAAGTAGCCTCGGCCTCGAGATCAGTGGGGTTTATCCCTTGCTAAAGCTCGGTCATGTGTAGGACACCTTTACCACTAGCGGGCAACGTTCAGTCACCTACGGCTACCATCGGCGAAGATTCGCACGGTTCTGACAGAGAAGAAGGTTACTTCTTCAGTTCCCACTTCAGGTACTGTCAGGGCACAAGCCCTGGGCCCCCATTACATGTAGTCCCGTTGTAGATTAGTGTCACATGACAGGCGATGGGTTGAAACCTATCGCTTATCACCCCGTAATACCCACACCTTTGTGACACTTACGGCCTGGTGACCTGAGCGAGCCCCACAGACCTCACACTTTTTTAAGTGCATGAGGTGTGATTAAAACTAATCTACACATCCTTTTTACATCTGATCCGGGGACAGCGCCTGACATGGCACCATCATACCCCCAAACAGGGAAGCTTGCATCTGCAGTGAGAACAAAGGGTGGCTTTGTTAAAAAGCCGCAATCTCCCAATTTGGGAGATAACCTAAACACTGCGTCATCAGATGATGACGAAGACCTGCCACATATTGGTAGGACCTCAGGGACAAACCCTGAGGATCCCAAAAACTTACATGGGGTAAATGCGGGGAACAATACCCTTAGAACCCCATGTGCCAACATGATCTCTCCTAGAAAGAGAGAGTTCTCACCACTGGGTGAGGAGGCAAACATGCACACATGTAAGCGCGCGGCTGCCACACTAACAGCCTTAAGGGCTGGGTCAGACACGCCAAAAGAAGTCCCTGAGCCCCACTATCCTCAGGGAACCTCTCACTTGGTGCAAGACACTGACAAAAACAGCAGTAACTCCTGCTGGTGCAGGGGGCCGTTTGTGGCCCCAAGCAATGTGGAAAAATTGTCCACATCGTCTTGAGCCACCCGCATGACATCCAGCTTGCAAGATTGCAGCAAGCCGGTTTACTCCCAAGTCTATTTGACTGGGAGTTACACAAAACCATCAAACGATCACTGTTACAAAAATGGGGCCGGAGGCGCCCATTTCCGTCCGTTCGAGGCGCAGGAAGAGGGAAGGGGGTAGAGGTTGAGCTCATGCGATTTTACAGATATTTTAACATGGGGTTTAACAGATGTTTTCACAAGTAGTAGTTTAGGTAGTTAATAATTGGATCAACTCCATTTATTTACATATCATGTGATTTGGGTGTGTGCAGGGCCCATAAGAGTCTAAATTGGGAAATTTCCCATTTCCATAACAATCACTCCCACTGGCACAGGGAGCCGTTTTTGATCCCAAAAAATGTGGAAAAATCTTTCACATGTCCAGCATCGTCTCGCATTAAACACGAGACGTCCAGATTGCAATATAGCAGCAATCTGGTTCACTCCCCAGTCGATGCGACTGGAAGTTGTCATAAACAACCAAATGACCATTCCTGCTGGTGCAGGGAGCCGTTTGGAGTTCCAAAAAATGTGGAAAAATCGTCCACATCTACGGAATCGTCTCGCGTCAGCCACGAGACGTCCAGATTGCGATATAGCAGCAAGCCGGTTCACTCCCCAGTCTATGCGACGGGTAGTTGTGCAAATCGATCAAACAACAACTCCTGCCAGCACAGGGAGCCATTTGTGATCGCAAAAAATGTGGAAAAAACTTCCACATTGTCTACATCGTCTCACATTAACTGTGAGACGTCCAGCCCGCAAAATCGCAGCATGCTGGTTCACTCCCCAGTCTATGTGACTGGGAATCGTGCAAAACAATCGAACAACAACTCCTGCTTGCACAGGGAGCCATCTTTGATTGCAAAAAATGTGGAAAAAACCTCCACATCGTCGTTACCGTCTTGCAACTATAGTGAGACATCCAGCTCGCCGCCTAGGCGTGAGCCGGTTCAAACCCCAGTCTATAAGACTGGGAATCATCAAAAACCCTCATGGGACGACCCCCACTTGTGTAGGGAGCCAGTCCTGAGTGGAGGAAATGTGGAAAAAACTTTCACACCACTGACACCATCTCACAACCACTGTGAGACACTCAGCGCTCTGTCTGAGAACGAGTGTACACACTCCAACATGGATATAAAGGCCATGTCATCCAGATCGACACAGACTCACAGGTTGAGCTCACTTCCGGACTGTCCTCAGATGGCCTCAGACCCAGCGTGGACACAGCAAAGGGACCAGGTGCAGGAGGATGGGGAAGCTCCCCGAAGTCGATTGTCCAAGAAACTTCTGGACTTTTTCCAGGTCCCATCCGAATGGAGGACAGGAAGTGATGAAGAACTCCTTCTCAGGCTAAAGGCCCAAGAAATAATAGGAGAAAAGGTCAAGGGCAGATGCTCAGAGAGCACAGAGGCTCAGGGGAAGCCACTGCTGCCAAGGCCGAACCCAAAAAAAAAGCGAAGTCACCAACTTCAGATGAGGTCACCGAAGTCTGTAGGAGTGCAATGTGGCAGAAGAAGGAGCCTAGTAAGGAGAACCCACAAATGAGCGGGCAACCATCAACACCAGGCCCCATCTTAGGCGATAAATGGCCCTCCTCGGTCACTTCACCCAGGCAAAGGATAAGTGGAAGTAACCTTCCGCAAAACCCCTCCAGTAATGCTGGAGAGAACCAAACAAACTCTCGTGAAAACTTCACAAGGAAAACTTCCAGCAAAACATTGCTGGAGGATAACGGGCACCTCAAAAGATGGTACCACAAGGCCACACGGATGGCCGAACTTCTAACTTTCACCCCACACATAGACAGGGTGAAGTGGGACTGGTTAAATAACGGTCCTACTCGACTCCCTGACACGAAGTGGTCAGGCGAAAATGATGCAGAAATTTTCTGGCAGTGGTACACCACACTGCTAGGATTCCTCACATCATGAGGATATAGAGGCGCACACTATGATGAAATCCGTCTGGATTGTCTCATTGGTGGATTGGCAGAGCCTGCACTCTCACACGGACTAAAACTCCATGAAGAAGCCCTCCTTAGAGATAAAGGGGGGAAATTTCTTGAAGTTCTCGATACTCTAATGAGGACATATATCAAGGAGCCTGCCACATTGAAGGTGACGGAAAAATACTGCAATGTAAAGTACAATGCAGGAAAAGGACCCAGACAGTCCTACCCAGAACCATCGCTTAATGCTAGGTTTCTGGAAAACATCCTCCCTGAATGCAAGGAGGAAATAATCAAAATGGGATTCTCCTCTTTCGAGGAGATGTTTAGAACAACATCTCGCATAGACGAGATGAAAAACAGGCTGAGGATAGCTCCAGCCTACAGGCCAGAATGCTATGCCAGACCTGAAACCACCATGACCACAAATCGTGAAAAGCCCAACCAGGCGGGAAAGGAGAAACACGCAGAGGCAAGAGCCAATGTGCAAGACCCTAAACCCAAATGGAAAGGCGAATCCTCCCTGAAGCAGTCAGGGAACACCAACCAAAGGCCGGTACAAGTATGCAATAATTGCGGAATACCAGAGCAGGCAAAGAGCTGCCCTGAGCACCAGTTAGTCAGAGACAGAAACCCAAGGCACAGGATCACCAGGGAAGTCGACTACAAAACAGAAGGTGAAGTTGGAGACGACTCCAATGAAGAAGAACCAGAGAATATCTCTGGTGATTGCGAAGTGGAGGACACCTCCAATGACTTTGAACCAGAGGACCCAAACAAGGGACCTCACTACTCGCCCAGAAGAAAGGGCGAGGACATCAGCGTTGGGACCACAATAATGGCCCCAAGATCCGACGTCATTGGAAACAATGACGAAAAAAATACACTAAAACTGGCGATAAGCCAGACCAAAAAAAGAACTACCAACTCTTTGGTGACGACACCAAAGAGGGATTCCCCTGAGGAAAGTCACTCAGAAGACAACACCCCCAAGAAAAAAACCTCGGAGGGAGACCCACTGAAGGAGGACCCTTTGGAAGAAACCACCCCGGAGTCTCCAGAAGAAGATGAGCTCTGGGTGGAGTTTATACTCAGCTGGCTAGCGGCCACAATCCGCCCTCTCCCCAGTAGAAATACTGGGCTGCATCACGCACGATTGGCTGACAAGGCCAATCAGCCCTCCTCGTACCTGAAGGAGGACCAAGAATTGGCAGATAAGATCAAGTAGAGATCCTAACTCCCACTTGTGCAGACAACCCAGTCCGCACAATCTTGCCGCCAACTATTGGCAGCCTTCCTCTCATACCGAGAGGTTTTTGAAGGTCTACCCGACCATCGACCTATAGTAATATGCTATAGTTTAACTCCTCAGACTGAGGAGACTCCATTGTGTCTGGAAGTGCTCCAGGCCCTCTTTTTTTTTTTTTCTTCTTCTCTGGCTCTTTCCTTGGGAAGGCCATAAACACGGTGAATGAGAAAGTCACCGATGCTTTGGTAGAAATACCAAAGAAAGAAACAACCCAGTCCTAGCTCAGAGGAACTGGAACTCCCAGATAAATACCATCTGGAAAGCAATTGCTCGAGGAACCAAACTCCTTGAACTCGCAAACAGGGATAAAGCTGAATAACTCGGCCCAACCTATGCGATACTCATTTTAAATCCATTTTAATTATAAATTTGCTCTGTTTTGAGCAATACAACCTTTGTACTAATTTCCAAAGTCCTAATGCCCCTACAGCATTGGTTTCTCAGACTTTGGTTCTCTATTCCATCTTCTTCATGTCGCAAGTGTGTGACATTGAATTGCGTCGCAGAGCGTGACACTTAGATGTGTCACAGTGCATGACAGAAATTCCTGTCATGCCCCCGACCGAGTAACTTCGGGTAAAGCCGAGCAACTCAGCTTAAGTCACCTGTCATTCATCATGGTGTTGAATCGAAAGGGCAACTGTGTGGTCTCAGGTTTAACCCCACTTATCAATGGCGGGGAAAAACTCGGATAAACATCCGAGGGATAACAATAGGGGAGAAAACATCCCTAATACAATTCCTTGATAGGGGAATTCAGTTTGCTTCCGGTGCCAGCCTGAGACCTCTGGCTGACCACAAATGCAAACAAATCAAACTGGCATTAGAAGACCAGTTGTAAGGAGTCATCATAGGCATCATGCCTATGAACCCAAGATACTCTCGAGACCAAATAACCTAGAGGAAGCTCTAGGGGGGAGTACCCAAACCCGGGAAGCAACCACATCCCAACAGACTTGGGATATGATTCCGTCCAAGGAATTGTCCACAGGCAGACACAACAACGTCCACCTGATCCCATTAAAACAACCATGAATGCATTAGAACTAGCATTCATGTTTTCTTGTGAAGTTGTATGACTTCACAGACTACCACACTCGATCGCATCAGATCGAGATTCAAAATTCATGACAGAAAGTAGTACAGATACTACACGCGATGGTCAGACCAGATCAATGCGACTGGGCAGCAAAGCTGTCAATGGCAGAATTCGCAATCAATGCGAGCTCAAACACATCAACAGGATTTGCCCTGTTCGAATTAATCTATGGCCACATGCCAAAGATGTGCCTAACAACACCACCCTTGGACTACCCAGGAGTGAATGATTTCACCCAAAAGGCGAAGGAAAACCTAATGGCAGCACATGACATGATAATACACAATCGTGCTGCTCAAACAATCCAGGCAAATAAGACAGACGCCTGGACCTGCCTTTGAGAAAAGGCGAGCTTGCATACTTATCCACAGATAAGTTGAACCTACCCAAAGGGAGGGCAGGCAAACTAAAGCCCTTATACATAGGGCCTTACAAAATTCTGGAAACATTTCCAGAGATGTCAAACTACGTCCTCAAGTTGCCACCACAACTTGAACAACGTGGAATCCACCCAAGATTCCATGTATCCTGGCTCGTACCTCACAAGCCGAATGACCAAGAAATCTTCCCAAATAGGGAAGTAAACATATTCTACGATTTGGGGAAGACCCCGATCGCGAAGCAGTAGTTCGCGAAATCTTAAACCACACGTGGGTTCACAATGAACTCTGGTTTAAGGCCAAATGGGAGCTAGGGGACACCACATGGGAACCCCTAGGAAATCGTAATGACCTCGTCCACCTGGATGAGTACCTCACATTACAAAATGTGAGGGAACCAGAAAATCTCCTGATCTAAGAAGATACGGAACTTTCGGCATCACTACGCCCCCAAAAACGGAGGCGGAAAAAGTGAAGCTGAAGGGCGATCACCCACAGCCAAGAGCGTGGGAAGATTCTGGGTGAGCAACTCACCCGGACAGCCACACCATGGGCTAGACATCACATGGGCTAGGCGAGTAACTTGCCTAGACCACGTGATCCCCAGGCTCACGTGTAAAACCATATGCAGTACAAACTGCACCGATGGCACAACAAGCGCCATTCCAGGGGCAGCAATTGCTGCTGCAGCCCCAGGCATACTCCCCAGGGAACTTCCCTGGCCAAATCACTCCCTGGATCGGCCAATTTGGCCCAGATCCGACAACCCAGCCAAATATAGGCTGGGAATCAGCTATTGCATCAGTGGTAGCTGCCCAGACAGGTCAACTTCTTCAGGAGTTGAAAGAGATAAAGTCCCTTGTAGGAGGGAGATGAGGGAGCGACAGCGGCTCCTTGTCCAGGCCGTCCAAACAGGCATGGTCTGACAACTCAAGGGTGTCAGATGATGCCTGCAATAATTGCGCCCATTGGAGGCATGAATACAATAAGGCATGCAGAGATGCTTCGGCATCTTTGCCTCTCTGAAAGACACAGAGAGAGAAGTCGACCTCCAGAAGAGGGAGATCGAGTTGTTAAAACATGAGCTTGAAGAGGCATGCACACTGGCAGACCTCGCTGCCAAACTCATTATGATGGGGGCCTCCCAGGTCAGGGGGAGGGGATACGGTTCCGGGCCTCATGAGGCGCGACCCCATATGGGGACTAGCACACCAAGGGGTGGGGCACCGACTATCCCGCCACCCCATGGGCAGGCGACCCTGTCTGGGTTGCATAAGGGCCCGCCCTCAGGAGGGCAAACCCATGTCGAGGGTAGATGGGAAGACAGTAGGCAGCCAATGACAGACCCCCAAAAGGGGACCACTACCAGAGGCAGCGGGCCGCCAAGTACCATGACACCTTATGGGCAAGCCACCCTACAGGGAAGTGTCCACATGCTTTTCGAGATGGCCAAAGCCAACAAATTCTCGGCCCAACCCAAGCTGAGAGCAAGCTATCACCCCCGGTGATAGTGGACAACACAAGCCAACTCCGAAAGGAGTTGGATGAGACAGAATCCCTCATGAAAGGGAAACGAGAGAGCGAGACAAGCTCCTCACTCAGGCCATCCAAATAAAGACGACCTGATTACTCAGAGGTGCCAAGAAATGCCTATGAGAACCGTGCCACCCAGAGGCAGGAGTACAAGATTCGCATAGAAGTGCGAAAGATTACCTCTCTCCAAAATGAAGAGAAACCGATTTCCAGAAATCGAGGAACTTGAATGTGAGCCTGAGCTCACTTGCGCATGGGCAGAATCCCACTGCCAAGTCCAACATGATGGGGCCTCCCAGGTTAGGGGGAGGAGATGTGATATTGGGTCTCAGAAAGTGTAACCCAGACAGGGACTAACATGACTGGGATGGGATACCACAATTCTCGCTACCCTGTGGGTAGGTGACCCTGTCCGGACTGCAGAGTGGTGCTCCAACAAGAGCACAGACCCAGGTTGAGGGGAGGAAGGAAGGCAGTAGGCAGCCAATAGCAAACCCCAGGCTGGGACCACTGCTAGAGGCAGCGGGCTGTCAAGTACTTCGACACCCTATGGGCAAGTAACCTTGGTGGGAGGCATCCAATGCAACAGGGAACCGTTCAACCGAGAGAAGATAGATCTCGGTCCAAAAATCCTCATGAACACTGGGGAACACAGCATGGGAGCTGTGGCAAGAGGCAACAGCCTCCAAACAGCACCGGAACAAAGTTCCGGGGACTCATGCTGGCCATGAAGTCGAACAATCATTTGCTCCCAAACCAGGAGCAACTAGTACTCTGTCAAACTCCACACTTGGCAAGGTGGCTCTAACCATGGAAAACCATCCAGCTAAACAGCCAGATGAACAAACGAAAATCCAGAGCACAAATTTCTCTGGCAAAGTGGAAACCACTCCACTCTTGTGAAAATGCAAGAACTCGCACACAAAACAGTATGCAAAGCACTGTAAAACAATATTTTACAGACCTAAATTATCAATTTGAGGAGGAAACACAGGCCGAAGATGCAAAACATCTTTGGAGAATTTCCCATTGGGAAACCCGATATTTTAAGGACTTCATATATACTTATCCCTATGTATAACACTGCCCACTTTAAAAGACGTTCACTCCTTTTCCTTTTCTTCTTTTTATAACTTGATGTACAATGTTGCCCACTTTAAAGTGGCAAACACATTCCTTATTCATTATTCCTTTTAAGCTTAAACTTTCCTTTTCTTTTTATCTTGTATGCGTCGCAAGGGGGGAGAGTGTCAGGGCACAAGCCCTGGGCCCCCATTACATGTAGTCCTGTTGTAGATTAGTGTCACGTGACAGGCGACGGGTTAAAACCTATCGCTTATCACCCCATAATACCCACACCTTTGTGACACTTACGGCCTGGTGACCTGAGCGAGCCCCACAGACCTCACAGTCCTCCCCCCTGCACCTCTGCTTACCCTCCAGTTCACCTCTGCCTCCGATCTCTGGTACCTTCTCTGGTGCCTCTTATCCTCACCTTATATGTTTATTAATATTTCTACCTACCCAATATTACTACGGACCTCCTAGGACCTCTGTCCACTCTGCAAAGGTTTTCCCACTCCCCAGTAGCTGTTGCTAATTCCACCCTTCACCTACCCACTCCACAATGCTCGATAAGGCTCACAAGCTCACTGACCTGGCAAGTGGGTAAGTCCCCCTTGGGTTTTCCCCTTTGTTCCCATTTGCCTTCTATATAAGTCCTGTACTGTAGTTGATGGCATCTTAGTGCAAAATCGACAAGACTATCCCCCCAGAGTTCGTGCCCTCTTGTTCTGAAGTTAAGGACCAGACTCCTAAGCGTTACTGAACATAGGCACAGCACTCCTCTCCAAGTCGCTGAGGCCATGGTCCTTCATTGCTGAAGTACACCTTGGCCACAGCTCCAG